AATAATGCTACAGTAAACATAGAAGTGCATATATCTTTTCATATTAGTGTTTTCATATTCTTTGGATAAATACCCAGTAATGACATTACTAGATCATATGGTAATTCTACTTTTATTTATTTTTTTACTTTTAATTTTTTGAGGAACATCCATCCTGATTTCCATAGTGGCCATACCAGTTTGCATTCCCACCAATGGTGCACGAAGGGTTCCTTTTATCCCACATCTCACCAAGATTTGTTGTTTCTTGTGGTTTTGATTTTAGGCATTCTGACAGGTGCAAGGTGATACCTCATTGTGATTTCAATTTGCATTTCCCTAACGGATGAGTGATGTTGAGCATCTTTTCATGTGTATGTTGGCCATCTGTGTGTGTTCTTTGGAGAAATGTTTTTTCATGTCTTCTGTTCATTTTTAATTAGATTATTTGGTTTTGCTGGTGTTGAGTTGTAGAAGTTCATATATTGGATGTATCCATTGCAAATGTCTTCTTCCATTCAGTAGATTGCCTTTTTGTTTTGTTGATGGTTTCATTTGTTATACAGAAGCTTTTTATTTTGATGTGGTCTCAATAGTTTATTTTTGCTTTTGTTTCCCTTGTCTGAGGAGATACAACTAGAAAAATGTAGCTATGGCTAATGTCAGAGAAATTACTACCTGTGCTTTCTTCTGGGATTTTTATGTTTTCAGGTCCTCACATTTAAGTCTTTAGATTCATAACCTGAAAAGGTGGTTGAGTAGACTCACTCAAATTCAACAGTATTTATTAACTAGAGTTCTTCCCACCATTCTAATCCATTTTCACCACTTTACCTAAGAAATCACTCAAACATAAAATCGTATTACAGAATTTGTGGGAGTTAAAGACTAATTCTTTAGCCTTTTTCTACAAGGTTTCCGTGATTGAGCAACTGCTTGCCCCTCCAGTTTCAACTTGTGTTGTATTTCACATATCAGAATACTTGCTTTAACCTAAACCCACTACTCATTTATTCCAACATTTTCTGAAAACTTACTATGAACCAAGCATTATGCTAGGCACTGGAGCTATAAATATGAGTAAGTTATGGTCTCTCTTAAGAGGGAAATAAAAATGTAAATAAATGCCATAAAATGTGACTAGTAAAGCAAGGATACAGAGTGGTGTTTCTCTTCCTAAGTCACTTAAGGGGACAGTATAAGAGATGACACTTGAGTAAAGTCTTGAAGGATGAGTTGGAATTTATTATATGACCCAGAAAGCTGATTTCAGGTAAAGTAAAAACACATGGGAAAGCACAGAGTTGTGAAACTGAATCCCTTATTTGAAGAGTTGTAAATAATCCAAAATGACCAGACCATGAGATTGAAGATGGGATAAAAAGATGAAGTGATGGGAAGGTAGGGTGGGATGATGAAAGACCTGTTATGTCAAAAGGAGTGTGAGCTTTGTCCTGGAACAGTATCAGATTTACTTTTTAAAATGAAAATGCTCCATTTTAATAATAATATATTCAGACAATAGATGCCAAAACAAATGGATGAAAGTTTGAATAACAGAAGATATTTATATTGTAAATATTTCTCCATGTGGTACTCATTACAATGAGAAAAATGGTAACTTAGTGGAGAAACTTGGTAGACACCACCTTAACCAATTGCTCAAAGTATCACAATAATGGGACAAATCAACACCATGAAACTCCTGATGTAATTCACTGAGAAGAACATAGCACCATCATTTCTGTGGTATTCCTACCAAAATGCATATCCTGAATCTAATTATGAAAAAACAGACAAATCCAAACTGAGAAGCATCTACAAAATCACTGTAAATACAAAGGGAAAAATTGAAAATTAAAGGAGGTTGTATTCACAAATTAGCACATAATCCTGGTATTTTTTCCTCCCATAAATGGCATTATTGGAACGAAAGGCGAAATCTAAATAAGGTCTGGAAATTAGATAATAGTATTATATCAATATTCAATTTTATAATTTTTGTAATTATATTGTAGTCACATAAGAGAATTTTATTTTTTAAGGAAGTATACATTGAATTACATATTTAGGGTTAAAGAAGCAACACACATACAACTTACTGTCAAATGATTTTTTTAATCATATAAAAACAAGTTCATGTGTAGAACATATTGTTTATAGCAGCATTACTCACAATACCAAAAAGGTGGAAGCTTCTCAAGTGTCCATTGATGGAAGAACAGATAAGCAAAATATGATGTATACAAACAGTGGAATCTTATTCGGCTTTAAAAGAAAAGGAAAATGTGACATGAGTTATATAACATGGATGAACTTTGACGACATTATGCTAAGTGATATAAGCCAATCACAAAAGAACAATTATTGTATGATTCCCGTTATATGAGGTTACTAGAATAGTCAAATTCACAGACAGAAGGTAGAATGGTGGTTGTCAGGTGCTGGAGAAGGGAGGAATTAGGAGTTATTGTTTAATGAATACAGAGTTTTAGTTTAGGAGGATGAAAAAGTTCTGGAGATGGATGATAATGACCGTGTACACAACAATGTGAATATACTTTATGCAGTTTAACTATACACTTAAAAATGGTTAAACGGGGGGCACCTGGGTAGCACAGTTGGTTAAGCACCTGACTCTTGGTTTCATTTCAGGTCATATTCTCAGGGTCATGAGGTAGAGCCCCATGTTGGACTCCAAGCTCAGCATAGAGTGTTTAAGTTTCTCTCTCCCTCTCTCACTGTGCCGCCCTTTCTCTCCCCCTCTCTCTCTATAAAATAAATATGTAAGTTTTTTTTTTTTTTAATGATTAAAGGGTGCCTGGGTGCCTCAGTCAGTTAAGTATCTGCCTTTGGCTCAGGTCATAATCTCAAGGCCCCAAGATTGGCTGTCAGGCCTCCTGCTCTGCTGGAAGTCTGCTTCTCCCTCTCCTTTTGCCCCTCCCTCCTGCACATGCATGCACACACATGCACAGAGGCACATACACACTCTCAAATGAATAAAAAAAATATATTTTAAAAATGGTTAAGTGAAAAAAATAAAAATGGTTAAGTGGTGAGTTTTGTGTTATACATATTTTAGTACAATTTATAAAATAAGAATAATTAAAATTAAATGTAGACAGGTGAGAATAAATAAAAAGTAGTAAATGAACCCTTACCTTCTAAAGATATAAATGGAGTAAAGAATGGAAGCAGAGAGACCAAATAAAAAGGTGTTGTAATATGTACCTTAGTAGTGGAGACAGAGAAAATGGATATATCTGAGAATGATTAGGAAATTAATAGGATAATATTTTAGATGCCTGTATCACATCTAGCTTCTGGGTAACCAAAATACACAGATATGGGTACATGCATAAGCTGCTATCTTTGCCTGAGCATTTACCTAACACCAAATTTACCTAATTTGCCCTTCATAACTTGGTTCTGGCTCAAATGTGATTTCCTTTGAGAAGTCCCCCCTGACTACACAGTCTTTCCCCTTTCTCCTTACCTCACACCATTTCTTGGACTGAATTAGTCTTTCTCCCTTCTTAGATGTTGTGATAGCATCTTTTGCGTTGACACCACAAAGTATCAGAATAAGTGGTTTATCTATTTCTTCAGTACACTGAGCTTCTTGGGAGTAGAAAGTTACTATATTTATGAATCCACAGCACCTTTCATAATGTATGCTCAATAAAAGCTTGAATAAAATTAGTAAGTTATTGAGTACTTATACTATTTTTCTTTATACTGTTTTATACTTGACTCTTTCCATGCCCCCAAAGTTAATACCTTATCTAAATAGTCCTATAACTAGTCTTTCTACTCCTCTCCTTGCCCAGATTTCCTCTGTACTAGCCTGTGCATTGATGCCAGATTAATGAAATTTCATATTTTGGAGTGTCTACATAAAAAACGTCGGTGTTGGGGATCCCTGGGTGGCTCAGCGGTTTAGAGCCTGCATTTGGTCCAGGGCGTGATCCTAGAGTCCCAGAATCAAGTCCCACATCGGCTTCCTGCATGCACCCTGCTTCTCCTCTCTCTGCCTGTGTCCCTGCCTCTGTGTGTGCGTGTGTGTGTGTGTGTGTGTGTCTTGTGAATGAATAAATAAATAAAATCTTTAAACAAACAAACTTCAGTGTCTTCTCATTATCTAAATAAATAAAGTCCAAATTCACTGGTAAGAAATTAAGACCTTCGACACTATTCTCTCAGAATTTACCATGTTCATTTTATTCAACAAGTATTTGAGAACTTACCCTTTGCAAGGCTTTGTGAAGGAAGAAAGTTTACTAAATATGATATATGCTCATTATCTTTGTGTTCATTTTTTTTGGTCCCTTGTTTCCTTTTACTACTTCATTTCATCTTAGGGAAAAATAATCTTTGTTTTTTTTAATAAATGTATTTTTTTATTGGTGTTCAATTTGCTAACATACAGAATAACACCCAGTGCTCATCCTGTCAAGTGCCCCCCTCAGTGCCCGTCACCCATTCACCCCCACCCCCCACCCTCCTCCCCTTCCACCACCCCTAGTTCGTTTCCCAGAGTTAGGAGTCTTTATGTTCTGTCTCCCTTTCTGATATTTCCTACCCATTTCTTCTCCCTTCCCTTCTATTCCCTTGAAAAATAATCTTTGAAGAACATTCAGCCATATTCATTTTTAAGTAAGTAGTTCCATTTTAAGACAAAATGTAAGTAATATAATGAAGTTTAGGTGGTAAGCTATCCAGCACAATGTCTGGCTCATAATAAAAGTTCAGTAAATGTTTAATTTATTCTGCTTAAAATTTTAAAGATAGAAATTTAAATTTAAGACTATAACAAAGAAAGTTATTACTGACTTAAGCCTTTGGAAACCTGCTTATTTTGCTTCATGGTAGTTCAGATGTTAATATTTGAATTTACTGATCTAATGTTATTTGGAACATATTATTTGTAGTTGTATCACTTGAAACACAAATCAAAACAAGTTTATGAATACTATATTACAAGTGTTTTTTCAAGACCTTTTTCTATACTTTCTTTATAGGTTATATGTAAAGTCAGATGTGCCACTGAACTTGACAAACACAAGTAAGTTTCATGAGTAGCAAGATCTAATTTTTTTCACAATAGACTTCTCAAGGTAGAAGGGCATGGTAGTTGAAGGTGCTATAGTAGTTTTATAGGAAGTCCAGTAGTTAGATTAGCACATGGGAAATGAATTGAGTAACCACAGTTCTCCTCCTTCAGCCATATTGCTGCTTAACACCTTCTTTTGCTGCTCTGCTACTGTGCTGCTTTAGATGTGAGATATAGTTTCATAGGGCCCACACATACTAAAGTTAGATTTTACTGTTTGGGGCAAGCATGTATAGAATAGTTCCATGAATTAAGGAATGTTTCAGTACTGATTAACCTCAAAAATGAGAATGCTAAGCTGGGGCGTCAGAAATTTGGGTTTCAGACCAATTCTCCCACTAACTTGTTGACCGTGCAACTCATTTAACCTCTCTAAATTTTGGACTCCCCTGGTTATATGAATAACTTCAAGGTCCCTTTTGGGTTTTAAATTACATATTATTACTTATGTTATGTAATCTGAAGAGAATATTAAGATCTCAACTTCACCAACTAAAATCTTTGTACACTTAACAAAGATTGCTTGTTATAGATTTCACAGTACCTTCAATTAACCTCTTATAAACTATTTCCAAAGGTTGACAACATTTTATGATTTCCACTCTTGAAAGTGACCTAAAATAGAAGATATGAGGATGCCACATAAATTTCTGGCTCATATTAATTTAGGTTATAAACATATTCGAACTGGGAATAGATAGCTGTTACAGCTACTTAATACAAATATCTACACCTTACCTGAAAGGTAAGATCACTTTATGCAGTGATCTCATTTTTCTTAGGGAGCTACAGTTAAGGCATTTCATTTTCAGAGTTGCTCTGTATACATAGTAAGTATAACTTTATAAGAAGCTGAGGTATCAATGAGGTGCTTGAAACTCTACATATACTGTACCTATGTTCTTCTTTGGTGATGTTTGAAAGTAATGGTTGTTATGGATAGTCAGAAGATCATAAAAGTTGAACATTATTTAAAACACACTTCCCTTAACCTCTTAAAACTAATGTTAGTGATCAATTTAAATTTAGATAGAGTTTATTAATTTTCCAAGCAGATTATAAAAGCCTGGTAATTCTTAGAATGGAAAGGTAAATGAATATATGTTTAGTAGTTATAAAAATGAAAAGTAGGGATGCCTGACTGGGTGGCTCAGCGGTTGAGCATCTGCCTTTGGCTCAGGACGTGATCCTGTGGTCCTGGGATTGAGTCCCACATCGGGCTCCTTGCATGGAACCTGCTTCTCCCTCTGCCTCTGTCTTTGCTTCTGTCTCTCTGTTTCTCATGAATAAATAAATACAATCTTTTTTTAAAAAATGAAAAGTACAGGATTACTTTAATTAGTATTAAAATAATCTTATATTATTCTTCCTGGCATGGACAACTGAGTTCAAGTCCACATGTGATTATCCTTAAATTAATGTTTTAAAACCTAATGCCATTTTTAAATTACTTAGATATTAATTCCATAATAGCAAAGATATCCCAAGTAACTCTGAGTCATTATTAAATTTGTATTTAAATGAAATTATAAAGATTTTAAACTGAAGGTATTATTATTGTACCTGAAGTAACACACTAATTCAGAATTAAATCTAGTCTCTCATTAGTATATAAACATCTAATAAATTTATTTTTTTTCTTTCAGAATTCTGTTGCATTTGGGCTTTATATTGGCAAGCCTTCTTTTTTTAGTGGTGAACTTGATTTGTGCAATGTTAGTCCACGGAGATGTCCCAGAAAATCAGTTGAAATGGACTGTGTTTGTTCGAGCATTAATTAATGATAGTCTGTTTATTCTTTGTGCCATCTCTTTAGTTAGTTACATATGCAAAATTACAAAAATGTCATCAGCAAATGTCTACCTCGAATCAAAGGTAAGTATATTTCTTATATTTACACCTGAGAATCTAACTTCAAATCCTCATCCTGTGAAGCATATTTTAATGGAAAGCTTATGTTTTTTTAAAAAGTATTCTGAATGTAAGGTACATTTTTGAGTTTGAAAGAATGGTCACAAGACATTAAAAGGCATTCAAAACTTGGCCCTAAGTAATAGTTTTTTAAAAAGTTTGTATTGAACATACTGTTATTTTCTGTGACTTATATCCTCTGCATAGGAGGATAAATGAAAGAAACCAGGATTTACATGAATATATTATAAATGGTCTAATATATCAAGCCACACTAACAACTTAAGATTTCGTCAGTAAGGGTGGCAGTATTGCAATTAAACAAATTTACCAGATTATGTCTACATACATTTGGGTTAGCAGTGTTAAGATATCATATGTCTAAGATGGTGTTTATTTGTATCAGGATTCAGAAAATGTTACTTCACCTCATAATATGAAGACACAATTATTTTGAAACAACTAATCATGTAATTAAATTTATTAATGCCTTGCTTCTGCCTTTCCTTATACTTTGGATCAGCAAACAGAGGCCAATGCTAACCTATTAACAAAGAACAATAGAAGTTTCTACAGTTGATTGACCATGTTGTTGAGCAGTGAATCAGTCATCACAGTGATATATGGCACTAGGTGTGTGGTATAGATGTGTAGATTTGGGGGTGTGATTTATACACACACAAGCTTGCTTTAATTTGGTATCATTATCTATTCACAGAAGGTAAGCAAGATAGTGTCTTAAACAGAACAGTTCTCTGAAATATAGTTAGACTTCTGTATTGTCATCTCTCATATAATCCTAGTGAAGTAAGGTGCTTTAATTAAATGTATGGTAACCAACTTGTCCTTTAAATTTAGGAAGAGACTTTAATTTTAGTTTTTAAACGTGTCAGTAGAATGCAGGATAAATATAGAAATAGAAACAAAAATATATATACAGAGAGAGAGACTTTCAAACCTATTAATCTTACCTAGAAAATTATTTTATTCCATTTATGTTCTAAAAAGTTCCCAAAATGTAAATGTTTTTGCTAATTCTGGCTTCAGTGTAAGTGTTAAAAATGATAATGTCACTGTTACAGTATATAATCTTTGGTGTAGCAATAGCATCTCTACTTAATGTAATAATATCACCTTAACATTCATACCTTGTGCTTATCTAGTGATAAACAGATAAATAGATGTGGTTGAATTTAAAAGGCTTCCTCTCTGGATATCTAACAACTTTTAAAGTTTTGGTTTACTTGCTTTGAAATAGATATTTCTTTGAATATAGTAAAGTTTCCAATCTAAAAGGAAAATCTAATCTGATAACTCCTCCAGAATTATTTTAAACATCTTCCCCTATCATATGAAAGGTATTCACTTTTTTATTAGTATAATTGTAGAAGTCTTACATTTAAAAAGTGTGTGGATTCAGAATTCTCTAGGAACATTACAGAGAGACATGCTTAACATACTTCAGTTTTAAAGGTAAACATAATATGAAATACTAGATTATACGTATGACATTGTACTATTATGTAGTTCTTGGTCTTCCTAACTAGGTTATAAAGTTATATATTCAAAGAGTACATCATCTTGCTTTCATGTTCTCCTGGTGAAATCACTAGGCCCATTTTTATTTTTTGACCTCTGTACAGGAATAGCCATTTCTTTCATTCAGTCGACAAATATAGGTTGAACACCTACCTCTTCCACGTTCAAACCAGCTTTGCTTCCTACTGTCCCTAAGAACATTTCCTTAAAGCTCAAACTTTGGTCTTCTGTTTTTCTTTTTATTCTTCATTCCTTCTTAATGAGATCTTCCGTGATTTGTTTCAACTAAATCTTACCTACCTTATTTCTAAATGGCATACAATATTCTTTCCTGTCTCTATATCCTTAGGCTGTTTCATTTTCCAGAAATGTCTCTCCTCCACCCGGGGCTCTATACCTGTTGTCATCATCTTAACCAAACTTTGAAGGCATAACTCTAATGTTTCCCCTTTTGATGAACTTAATTTGATTCCTTCCTCTTTGCTCCCAAAATAAAATTTAGAAATAACTATCTGAATTCTCTATAAAAAACTTATTTTTATTCGGTTAGCAGCTAGCACAGTGCTGTGTATTAGTTCTCTTTTTCAAAGTAGCAACTCTAACTAGTTAGAGTTAGAGTTTTCAATATTACTTATCAATTTTGAGGATCCCTGGGTGGCTTAGTGGTTTGGCGCCTGCCTGGCGCCTGCCTTTGGCCCAGGGCGTGATCCTGGAGTCTCAGGATCAAGTCCCGCGTGGGGCTCCCTGCATGGAGCCTGCTTCTCCCTCTGCCTGTGTCTCTGCCTCTGTTTCTCTCTCTGTGTCTCTTATGAATAAATGAATAATCTTTAAAAAATATATTAGTTGTCAATTTTAATAGTTTATTTCTTCTCTTTCATTTTTGAATTTTCTTACACATTTAAGGTTTTTACTTTGTTCTTTGTCTATGTTCTTATATAGATACATAATTTATTATTTTGTAAACTAATAAGATATTTACAGCAATATGTTTTCTCTAGTACTGCTTTGGCAGCTTTCCATAATCTTGTTATATTGTACCAACATTCTTATTTAACAAAAACAAAGAAAACATTCTGTTTCAATTTCAGTCATGACTCCAACATTACATATTTATACATCAATGTGAATTAGATATTGTCTTTAAATATAGGGTCTTCCTTCAACTTATTTTGGTGGAAAGTCTAAAATTCAGACATCTAATCCTATTCAGGTCCCCTGACCTTCCTGAGAAGTTATCAGTTTTACCCTCTGTTTGACTGTCTATGCATATAAATCTGGCCTTCTACACAATATAGAATTTCTGTACTCCAGGTTCTTGAAATAAACTCTCAACTGTTAAATTCAAAAGCTTCATTCCAGAAAGATTACCTGAAGAAATGTCTAGTCTTTCCATCTCCCTATCTATTCTACATTTTATCTTTAGCCCAGTCCAGACGTTTTATACTTAAGATTACATTGTACCATGGATAGAATTAATTGTCTGTTCTAACCTATACTTTGACATCATGCTTTGGCCTGTACTAAGAAATATGTAAGAAACATTTATCTTAAAAGCCACTATTGTGTAATGTTCTTGAGGATATTGTCTACACAGTGTTGCGCAGAAAATATCTTTTTCTCCAGTTCAGTACCAGGTAAAACAATATTGATTAAATCCTTCTTTTCTCTGGCCACTATGCCATTCAGAAGCAAATATGTGGCTCACCTCTATATCAATCATAGATGATCTTATGATATCCACTTTGGGTTCTGGCTCTATCTCTAGTTATATTTAATTTTTTTATTCCCTATCACCACCACACACACACATATTCCTGTATATTTTTTTATTTTGTATTCTTCTCTGTAACTACTTCAAATTCTCCTTGGTGAATGAGGGTGGTATAAATAAAAAATATGATATTGGATTATATTTTTGGATATGTTTATATCTTTTTTCAGATATATTAACTTTAATTAATTTGGAAAGGCCTTAGTGAGAGACAATGTATCATAGTGATGAAGAGCTGGAAACCTGAGATCAAAGAAATAAGACCATAAATCTCATCTCCTGTTTACTGGCTATGTGGCATTAGACAAGTAACTATCTCTAAGCTTCACTCAGCTGATCTGTAAAATGAAAATAATGATAGTGTTGATCTTATAGGTTATATAGAGTTTTTAGGTATGTAGTTTTAGATATATATACTGTACAGTATAGATATATATAGTATATCTAAATATTAGATATATTTAGATATAGTATATCTTAAAACTCTATATGTTATATGTATATAGTTATAAAACTATATAGTATATCTAAAAACTCTATAGTAGATTTAAAAACTCTATATGTTATTAGAGTAGAGTAGTATCTTCTAATTAATCTAAGGATTAAGTGAAATTTTATGTAAGGCGTTAGTATAATGCCTAGCATTTGAGAAATGCTTATAAATATTAGCTATTATGATCTAACATGTACTAAGGAATGGTAATGTAGTTTTGGGAAGTTCTTGAATACCTGAAATTGTTGGCAAAATTTATCTGGAGAGAGGTCCTATATATGTAATCAATCCTCAAAAGGAACAGAGATCCAGAAAAGAGTAAGAATCATTGAAGAAGTGAATTTCTCTTTTAAATATTTAATTTTAATTTTAATGTGACTCCACCTAATTTATGTACCATTCCACACAGATTTTGATAAGGGTTGAAGTCTAATAGGTTACATGTTATCTAATTTTTAACTAGCTTCCCTTTCAAATTTTTAGAACAAATACTACTGAAATTATTTAATGGCATTTTTAATCATAGGTATTTTTGTTCTGAAATGTGCTGTATCTTTTATTACAACTTTTTTCTTTTATTTGCATGGTCATGAAATATGATGCTATCTTAACTTTTTATCTATTGCAAACATTTTAAGTGTGTCTCATTAGTTTAAACAAGATAGAGAGTTGTTGGGTCTTTTTTTTTTTTTTTTTTTTTACAAATCCTTTATATGGTAAACAGTTCATATTTATTGACATGATTGTGTATTAGTATTGGTCTCCCATTAGGTTTTTTTATTGCTGTTTTCTTTGCCTTCATTTCTATGATTTCTGTGCTACATTTGATTTATTTAATTTTTGTCAGAATTATAACTTTTAACATTATTAAATTATTATTTATCATTAAAATGCATACTTATGGGGCTCCCCAGTGGGACAGTTGGTTTAATGTCCAGCTCTTTATTTTGGCTCAGGTCGTGATCTTAGGGTGATGAGATCGAGCCCTCATTGGGCTCTGGGCTCCAGGCTCTGGGCTTTGGGCTCAGGGTAGAGTCTACTTAAGACTCTCTCCCTCTTGACTCCTGGACGGCTCAGCGGTTGAGCGTCTGCCTTCGGCTTAGGGCATGATCCCAGTGTCCCGGGATCAAGTCCCAAATGGGGCTTCTTGTATGAAGCCTG